GCTCCTCCGAGCGCCAGGCCGACTGCGGCGGACTCAGCCCCGCCGTAGCCCAGCAAACGACTCAGCACCCGGTACGAGGCCGCCGCCGCTGCAACCGCCTCGCCTCCGCCGCCTCCTCCAGGCTCCGCTGTCGCTGCTGCCGCCGCCGCCGCCGCTCCTCCTCCGCCCCGCTGCATGGCGCTAAGGGAGGCGGCGCATTGCATGGAGCGAAAGCCCAGCCGGCCTCGCCGAGCGACCTGGACGGGGAGGCCGGCCCCAGCTCCAGACCGGCGGCTTGAGGCTGAAGGCTTTTTCCTTCCACCCCGGCTGGCTTGCTTAGGGGCCCGCCCGAGCGGAGGGTGTGCACGCCCTCCGACTTCCCTTTCCGCTGATGCTACCGATGATGCGCTCGCCAATGTGACCAGCCTGTGCGCGGCTGCAGCGCCTTTCCGCACCCGGCGCTCCTCCCCTCCTGCTCTCTTCCCCAGCGGTTTTCCTTCCAAGCCAGAAGGCGGACAGATGTTTCCCAAGAAGAAAAATTCAGGTAGGGTAGCCGTGTTGGCCTGAAGCAGCAGAACAAAGTTTGAGTCCAGTGGCACCTTTAAGACCCACAAAGTTTTATTCAAGGTATAAGCTTTCCTGGAAGGCTTACACTTTGAACAAAACTTTGTGGGTCTTAAAGGTGCCACTGGACTCAGATGTTTCCCAAGACACGCCCCCTCCCACTCAACCCCGCCTCCTCGACCAGGGCACGCCCCCTGCCCGCTTTAAGCCATGCCCAATTCCAGTACAAAGTTTTCCCCTAAGTGCTAGGGAGGGGAATCCAGCAACACCTTCAGGACCACCAAAAGTTCATGTTTTCCTCAGAGCTCCTTTCAAGGGCTGTAGTACTCATAATTTCATGTTAGAAAAAAGTCTGAGTCCAGTGGCACCTCTCAGACCAACAAAGTGTATTTCTGGGAATAAGTGTTCATCTTCAAGGAGCCACTGGACTCAAACGTTGTTCTGTTGCATCAGACCTACCCACCTGAATCTATAATTTCAGTCTGTATCTGAAGTGGGCTCCGATTCATCCAAAGGTTATGCTGGAATACTGGACTCTGTCTTAATTTTGCTACCACAGCAGATTTGCCAACATCCAGGCGGGGCCTGGAGATCTCCAGAAATTCGAACTCATCTCCAGGGTACATCCCTGAAGAAAAATGGCTGCTTTGGAGGGTAGACTCGATGGAATTATACCCCACCGAGGCCCCATCCCTCCTCACACCCCTCCCTGTGCAGGCTCCGCCCCGCCAAATCTCCAGGTATTTCCCAACCCAGAGCTGGCAACCCTATAAAAGCCTAACAAAGGCTCCTCCTCGGGAATTAAGCTCTTAGCGTTAGAATTTAATAGACTGGTTGGTTTTTATCTACCACTTGATTCTTCTTTTCTCCTGGGAGAGGCTGCGTACGTTCACAGTTACAGGGCATGCAGAAGGGACCCTGGTGTAGCTTCCCACAGCTTGGAGGTCTGCCGTGGACATCTGCAAAAAAAAGAGTAAGCCTAACAGGACATAGAAAGAAAAAGCGGAAGATATGTTATTCAGTATTCATTGCACGGAATTAGAGGCGGCTGGATTGAAACCTACCTTTGCAGCTTGGATGCCCTTTCACCCCCAAACCCTCCATGTGCAAAATGCTGTTTATTCAAAAATGCAGGCAAGGCGTTTGTAATTTCATGTACAAGACCATTGTAATTTCATGACTCTGGGCTAAGCCAGAGAACCTTGGACAGAACTTTGTCTAAGACCATAAGAAGAGCCCTGCTGGATCAGGCCAGTGGGCCATCCAGTCCAGCACCCTGTTTCACAAAGTGGACAACCAGTTTTCCTTGAGGGCCAACAAACAGGGCACAGAAGCCAAGGCCTTCCCCATGCTGGATCAGGCCATCCCCTGAAGCATCCCTGGAAGTGGTCAGTATGCGTCACCAGTGCCTGGACGCATCCCGGGTTCCCCCAATATTCTGTCCTGTTCTAATGGAACCAAGGGTCTTCTTATGTCCTTTTGTATTATTAATTTAGCATTTCATTACTACTTCTACACCACCAAAGCATCCCTGGAAGTGGTCAGGATGCGTCGATGCGTCGCCAGTGCCTGGATGCATCCCGGGTTCCCCCAATATTCTGTCCTGTTCTAATGGAACCAAAAATTCATAGTTCATGTTCTGGGACTCTCAGATTATATTAGCAAACTGTCTGTCAACAGCATAGAGGGAGAATCTGTATATATTGCTGGAGCTCCTCCTGGGGAGGACACAACTTTTTGATATAGCCAAGTAGATTAGACACCAGGGGAATCTACAGTCAGGACTTTCCAGGTTTGCTGAAGTCAAATAGCAACTGCGCAGAGCCCGTAATTTAGATTAGGGTCATAGAGCAGGCAGTAGAAGGGGTTAAGCCTTTTCACCACCCATCTACACATGGTTTCACCAAAACACACAAACACATCACATAGGATTGTTCATAGCCTAGAAGGGGAAAGAGGACAAGCCCCTTCCTTTTGCCTGGTGGGGTCAGTTTGTAGCGTAAAATCAGATCAGAGGCCCACACAAAAACAATGTTCCCTCTAATTCCCCCCCCCCAGCAGAACAGTTCACATCCTTAGTAGAATAGACCTGCTGTAATCTTAAACTGGGCAATGGGCACTACAAAACCCTGCACAGCTCCATCTTAGAGGAAACACTTATCTAATTAGACCCTAAGAGAGGGGGGGATCTGTTTTTTTTCTGTAGACAATGGGTTGGATCCAGTCAGCTTTTCTGCTCGCAAAAAGTCAGGAGGTAATTTCTTTGAGTGCCCAAAAAGGCTATTCTAAAAATCATGGAACCTACATGGACAAAAGCCACGTGAGATGGGGAGTGCAGTATGGAAGGGAACTGGGCAAGACTGAAAGAAAAAGCTGGCTGGATTCAACTTGATGGGATCACCCTTGCAGGGAACAGGTTCATCCTCTCCTAGAATGGTGTGTCTCTGAGCAAACCTTTTTGTGTTCTCCCATATAATGGTGACCATTCCAGGAAGAAGGGAGGAAAGAGCACCACGTTTGGGACGGACAGTGTTGCAGGGGACTGACCCAATAGGGTTGCAGTTTCCAAGGTGAGGGTGGGGAAAACCCCTCCATTGCATCCTGTTGGACTGGGGCAATGGGCGTATTTCATGTACAGCTTTCACGTTCCTGGGATCCAAGATCACTGCAGACGGTGACTGCAGCTGTCACGGCTCAGGTTGGGTGTCACCTGACGCTGCCACCACTCTGGTTCCAGGCTCCTTTGAGAAGGCCCAGAGCATCCTCCCAGGCCTTTGGACCTCCCTTTTGGCCGAATAATAGGCATGAGGACCAGGCAGAGTGAAAATGAAAATAGTTTATTTTATAGGAGGTCAAACAAACAAGGTGCAGAATAATAACAGTAAGTGGGTGAAAAGAAATCAAGTGCCCTAACACATCTAAATATATACCGTCCCTAGCTCACTATTAAGTGGCCTTAGACTACTCACCCTTCTCTCAGGATGAGGGTTTCTTCCCCACAGCAGCCTCAGTCCCTTCTGGCTGTGTTCCCTGGGAAGAAGAACAGCTTTTCCTTTTGTACCAGTTCCTATATTCCCCAGCCCTCTTCTTCCCTATTGGTCAACATCGGTGCCAAAACTTCCCAAGGCCTTCTGGGGTTTGTAGGCCCAGCCTCCCTTACTGCTAGCCAGGCTCCCTGGGCCTAGTAAGCCTCTGGTGGCACAGCCCAGATCATGACAGCAGCCAGGAAATTAAAAGATACCTGCTCCTTGGGAGGGGAGCGATGGCAAACCTAGACAGCCTAATAAAAAGCAGAGACATCACCCTGCCAACAAAAGTCCGTATGGTCAAAGCAATGGTATTCCCAGTAGTCAGGGGTCATTTTGTAGAAAAAGAGGTGCAGGAGCTTATTAGCATAACTCATTAGCATAACTTATTTGCATATGCCACACCCCCTGACATCACCGGAAGTGTGTCAGATGGCAACACCCACCACTCAGGCTCTACCTCAAAAATCTCCAGGTATTTCCCAACTCAGATTCAAACCTGGGTCTCCCAAATCCTTGTCTGGAACACTAACCACTACACAACACTTCATGGGGCAGCGGCTGTTGAGCAGTAGCAAGCAGCTGGGCTTGCATGAGTTATGCAAGTGCCATGGTGTCCAGTGGCTGCTATCAGGCCTGACATGCTCTCTCCCCCTACATTTTACTGACAGAAGCAAATGCTTGAAGGCTGGAAGTACTGATGCGGTTGACAAACAATCAACCAAGGTGAGAGAATTCCTTTCATAGAGCTACAGGTTTGACTGACAAAATCAAAGTATAAATCAATCATAATAAATCTATTTAATTCTTGACATGGCCAAATTTGTGGATAGTTGGATCCATAAACAAACAAGACAGATGTTTGTACAAAAACTCTGAAATGAAAAACATTGTTATTGTTGTTAGCCATTCAGTCATGTTCAAATCGCCAAAATATTTTGATCTTGTCAGCCAAAAGCACCTTCAGGAGAAAACATTCTTAGCTGAAGAAGATCTGGATCAGATCGGGGACTGTCTCCATAGGGTATAATTGCCTTCCCTTCAATGAAGGGAGCGTGCCGCCACTGCCGCGCAACTCCAGAGAGGGGGGATTTAAATTTTAAACCCCCTCAGACTTTTGAGTCGCTCCGCACAGGCAGCACGCTCCTTTCAGATATTTCTGCCTGGCAGCAGGGCCAGCGCTGACCCCGCTGTCATACAGAAGCTTCTGCTGGGTTCTCTTTCTTCCCACCCCTTTCCCTTCGCCCCGCTTGGAGGTGAGGTGATGGGAAAGGAGGGTGGAGGAGTTTACTTGTTACTCCCGGAACGCTGTTCCTGCCCGTTCCTGCTCGAAATGACCCGCCAGTAGTAATGCATGGCTGCAAGAGCTGGACTATAAGGAAGGCCAAGTGCCGAAGAATAGATTATTTTGAATTATGGTGCTGGAGAAGACTCTTGAGAGTTCCTTGGAGATCAAATCAGTCAATCCTAAAAGAAATCAACCCTGACTGTTCCCTGGAAGGCCAGATGCTGAAGCTGAAGCTCAAATACTTTGGCCACCACATGAGAAGGGAGCACTCACTGGAGAAATGCTGGGAAAAATTGAAGGTCAAAGAAGAAGGGGACAG